CCCCACACTTACGACTGTCACAGCATCTGGGATGCTACAATCATATATGTGTTTGTGTGTGTGTGTGTGTGTGTGTGTGTGTGTGATTGTAGCATCCCAGATCTCGTGAGCATGATTTGTGACCTTCAGACAAGCAAAGACAATGGAGAAAGTCAGACTCACCCAACAATGATTTACCTAACAACTGCAGCGATTTGCTTAACGACTTTGGAAATAGGTCATAAAAACAGGTGTGACTCACTTAACTACTGCCTTGCTTAGAAACAAATTCTAGTCCCAGTTGTGGTCATAAGCTGAGGACCATCTGTTCTGTAATGTATATAGATTACATGCAAAGTACTATAGTTTCTAATAAACAGGGATAAGATGTAAGACTATGCTAGCGTTGACACTCAGTAGTTCATTCTTACAAGCATCTTTCAGCCTCTTGAGTTGGCTAACTTTCCCCAAACATTGCTTTCCAGAAGAATAAATCATTTTCCATCACAGCCAGAAATCATGTTCACTTGGACATGAGTTGTATGGATCCATATTCTGATGTGATACACGGCAAACTTTTTGCCTTCAAGACCCTTTCTCAAATTGCAACTAGGGCAAATAAAAAATTATTAAAGATGTTTTAGGCCTCCTCTTCCACTTTCAAAGCGTATTTACATTCTGCATCCAATCTGAGTGGATAATCACACTGATTGATCAATAAGCCAAGTCGACAAACTGATGGATACAGAATCAAAGTATAAACCAAGAGTGTTCAATGTTGGCAACTTTGAGACTTATATGGCAGGTGGGGAATTTGGGGAGTTGAAGTCTTAAAGTTACAAAGAACATCATAATCAGAGTTGGAAGGAACTTTGGAGGTCTCTATCCCATTCCAGACAAGTTGCTGTCCAGTCTTTTCTTAAAAACTTCCAGTGTTGGAGCACTCACGATTTCTGGTGGCCAGTTGTTCCACTGATTAATTGTTCTAGCAATCAGGAAATTTCTCCTTAGTTCTAAGTTGCTTCTCTCCTTGATTAGTTTCCACCCATTGCTTCTTGTCTTGCCTTCTGTTGCTTTGGAAAATAAATTATCTTCTTTGTGGCAGCCCCTCAAATATTGGAACCCTACTATCATATCACCTCTCTAACCGTTCTTTTTAATATACTTGTTGGACAAGCATGTATGACAGGTATATAGCCTGTCACCAATCCCTTTTGCCAATGGATAGAGTAACTTTTACTTCCCCAACATTATATAACAGCATACCAGAAGTGCACGTTAATCTCCACTGCCATAATGTGCATAGTTTCTGCCAGTACTTTTCTTATTAAATCATGTTGCAATAGTTGAATACCAAGAAAGGCGACTTCTTCCCAACACATGCATAAAAGCACCCCCAACCCACTCACAAAAAAGCATGTGGATGAGAAGCATCAAATCTGGGGATAACTGTGGCCCCTCCAGTTATCCGGAAAGGTTACAGCAAGTGCAAAGGATCGACTGGGATAATTTCCTGTATAGAAAGTGGCTTATCCTATCCTGCCAGTATTTAAACATAGGGGGATGTTGATCTCTTATGATAGCTATAACTGAATTCTGCATTGTAGATTTAGCCCTGAATGGAGGGTTGGTATAGATGATCTTCAAGCTCCCTTCCAATTTCATTTCCTCTCTTCTAAATAGGATATGGAAATGCTTCTCCCAGTGGTGGGATTCAATTTTTTTTTACTACCGGTTCGGTGGGCGTGGCTTGGTGGGCGTGGCTTGGTGGGCATGGCAGGGAAAGGTTACTGTAAAATCTCCATTCCCTCTCCACCCCACTAACCTGCTTTCCAGCTCTGTTCTCCTGTGCAGGGCAGCCAAAGAAGACCCAGCCCATCAGCTGGGACTTGGGAGGCGGAGAATAGATGGGTCTAGAGGTCAGAGGTGGTATTTGCCAGTTCTCCAAACTACTCAAAATTTCCACTACCGGTTCTCCAAAACTGGTCAGAACCTGCTGAAGACCACCACACTTTCATTGTATCTTGAATCCTGAAAATGATTTTTTTAAAAACCCTGGCCACAAGGGGTCACTCTGATGGTCCATTACTGAACCATTGATGGTTCAGATGTTGGACTAAGATGGGCAAAATAAATTCAGATTCAAATCCCCAAATGGCTGAATAAATCTCTGATGGAACCCATCAATTTCAGAACCAAAATCACCCCATACTTGGAGATAAAATGAAGAGATACCTAGATAAGCTCCCTTAGGCCCACAAAGGAAAAACATGATCTAAACCGAATGAGGGATAACAAAGATGAGGATGATAAATTGTTTTTCGACTACAAGCCTGGAGCACAGGTAATCCCCAACTCACAACCACAATAGGGACCAAAAAATTTTGTTCCTAAGCAAGGCGGTTGTTATATGAGTAACACCCAATTTTACATCTTTTGCGACAATTGTTGTTAAATGAATCATTGCAATTGGTAAACGAATCACATGGTTGTTAAGCAAATCCAGCTTTCCCTATGGACTTTGCTTCTCTGAAACTGGCTGGGAAGGTCACAATTGGCAAATCACATGACCCTGGGATGCTGCAATTATGGTAAATACATACCAGTTGTCAAGTCCTTGAATTTTCACCACATGGTGCTGAGGATGCTGTAACGGTGCTTCATTGCCTTTGTTACTTTGAACAGTCACTAAACAAATGGTTGCAAGTTGAGGGCCACCTATAGAGAAGTCCCTAAAAGAAGGCCTACCACCCATTTTTCTTGCTTATCTTCCTATCTACTGACAAAAACCGTTCAGAATGGGAAGAGCTTTGCAATCTGAAACGTCCATTATCTTCAATCCATGCGCTGTCACTTCTTCTGTAAGGCCAGGGATGGGGCAGCTATGGCAAATTTATGACCTATGGACTTCAACTCCCAGAATTCCCATGATGGCTCAGCTGGCACAGAGATTCTGGGAGTTGAAGTCCACAGGCCCTAAAGTTAGCATAGTTACCCACTCTGCCTTGGGCTCTTCGGTGTGAGTTCATCTATTAGAGATCCTAGACCAGTAGTGGGATTCAAAAAATTTTACTACCTGATTCTGTGGATGTGGCTTGGTGGGCGTGGCTCGGTGGGCGTGGCAGGGGAAGGATACTGCAAAATCCCCATTCCCTCCCCACCCCACTAACCTGCTTTACAGCTCCATTCTCCTGTGCAGGGCAACCAAAGGAGACCCAGCCAATCAGCCGACATTCAATGGGAGGCGGAGAATAGATAGGGGCGGGGCCAGCCAGAGGTGGAGTTGGCCAGTCCTCTGAATGACTCAAAATTTCTACTACTGGTTCCCTAGAACTGGTCAGGACCTGCTGAATGCCACCTCTGTCCTAAACCCACTCTTATGATCCAGCTGTCCCTCAACCACCTATGCCAGTGATGGCTAACCTTTTCTGAACTGAGTGCCCAAAGCACATGTGCACGCAAATGCACACACATCCCCGAACCCGCAAAATGCAATGCATGCCCCATGCATGTGCCCTCCCCCCCCACTTGTGCACGACTTCCGTGCGTGCGCCACCCCCCTCCGTGCATGCACAGCAGAGACCTGGAGGCCAGCTGGCTGGTGGGAGGCACACACACGTGCGTCAAAGCTGAACCAATGGCTCATGTGCTTTCAGAGGTGGGCGCTGTGTACCACCTCTGGCACGTATGCTATAGGCTCACCATCACGGACCTGTGCAATCCAGGGATTCGGATCCATTTGGACATGTTTTGATGTGATCCTCAAGATTTGATGTACCATGGAAGAAACAGCAAACTGTAGGATATTTGATCCTGCTTTACAAGATGCAAGGGGAAAGAACAGTTGTAGGGCTCCTTCGGTGGCTAACCTGCTTATCCCCTTCAGATCTGTTTTCCAAGCAAGTCTTTTGAAGGCTTTTAAAGACCCCTTCAATTTTTAAAGGCCCTGCCAGGCTTTGCATACCTTTGCAAAAAAGCTCAACGTTCCCGAAAGGCACCTTAGTTTGCAAACAGGGTGCACGGCAGGCACTGTCAAGATAGAAATGTTGCTAATGCCTAGCTTCCTATCCAAAACTAAAAACACGTTTTAAAGATTTCCCCCCCCCCCTTGTCTTGTAGGTACAGTACTTCCCTCTTCCTGCCCATTTTAAAATTATTTCTGAATCCCTCCTACTGGGATTGTATGAATGTCAAGGCACCCTCCAGGAAGATAAACAGAATTTTAATGTTTAATTCAACAGAGTGAGGTCATCATTAGAAGTCTCTAATCAGGTTGAAAAGTGGTTTAAATGTGCGTGGAACTACCTGTGTGGCTGTGCATTGATGTGTCCATGTGTGTGCATGCTTGTGTGTATATGGAGGAGTGTCATAGTACTTAAAACTGAGGTCATATCTCCCGGTCCCACAAAGCCAAACCATCTTTCTGAGATGCTGCAGCCTCCAACTTTATGGAAACTGACCTAGGACCAAGAACTCAAGACCTGGAAGGGGCAATGCAAGGCCCTCAAGACCACCCTCGCCGCTCAACAGTGCCGTGGTAACTTTGAATGGTCATTAAAGGAACTGTTGCAAGTCGAGGACAAAGAGAAGCAAAACGATTTCGAAGGCTTCTTCCAAAACATGACAGCTTCGTGGATCCTTTGCCTTGCTCTCACACCCTTTCCCTCCCCCCCCCCATCCCAACATCCCTGTTAAGTGACAGGCTGGTGCACATTCCTTTCTCTGCCCCACCCCCAACCTGTTGTTACTGCTGCTGCTGCCAAAAAAAAAAATAAGATTTCACGCTGCACTCTGCCCAGGAGATCTGGGGAAGCATTCAAAAGAACAACTTCCAACTCCTTGCCCAGGCTCGGGGACAGAGCAGGGTTGAGTTCCCACGACTCACCAGCCACTAGCCAATCAGATTTAACCTGCGGTCTGCGCAGACCCCTCTGCGGATCAGAATACCGTGAGAACTGAACAAACGCGGAGAGGAGCTGCTAACCCTGTCCCCTGAACGCAGCCAGCAAAGCAAGACTTACGGGGATGTGAACGCGCAGCATGCGTCTCTTCTGTCCAGCGTCCTTCTTCTTACCAGACGAGGCATCCTTCTTCTTGGCATCCATGACCGTACTTCCCATCGCAGGGATGCGAACAGAGGCTGCCGGCCGGTTTCCTTCGGCCAATTCCACTTGCCTGCAAAAGCTCGGTTTCCCTGGGTTGGAGAGAGCCGCGGGGAGGGGAGGGACGTGAGCAGAAAGCTATCAAAAGACGGAGGAAGTTTGCCGGCCGTTGCTCGGGCTTCGGAGGCCGAGAGATGGGTCTGAGAAGAGGCCAACGAAGCCTCGGCTCATCGTCCGCTAGCTCGAGCCCCGGATGCCCCGGCGGGACAACAACGCGATCCCACTAGAGGGACACCAAGGTTGCTGCCCGGTCAGAATCCGCCACAATTTCCCTGACGCTGCTTAAAGTTTCCAGACAGGCATCTTCCTGGAGTCCCCGCGCGCGCGCACATGGAAAACGCCAGAAGGCGCCTCGTGCAAAAGGGGGTGCAAGGAGGGCGTGCAAACGGCAGCCCGAGCCCCCGCGGGGCTAGGCTGCAGATCGCGCGCCCCCTTCTTCAGCGGGCGCGGGGCAAGGGCGTTGCAATCCTCCTTGAAAGGTCGGCGGGTTCCCGGGCAAAGTGGCTGCAGCTGGCAGGCAAACGCGAGAGGGAGCGCAAAGGCGCTCAGCGGCTCCTGCACCAGCCGCTTTCGGGCGTGCAAGAGGCGAATCTGACAGCCGCCTCGGCACAAACAAGAGGAAAAGAAGCGCGGAGGAAAAAGCGAGGAAACCCTGCCCAGAGAGGGAGGCGCAAACCTGTGTGTGTAAATATATTTCGAGCCGCCAAGGAGGCGGAGAGGCAGCTAACAGGAAGTGCACGCTCATAAAAGGCAACTTTCTCCCGGCCAGCCCTGGCACAATGCGCGCACACGCCCCTCGGCGCCTTCCGTGCCTCTCCCTGCAGCCAAGGCCGCCGGACACCTCCGCTGAGCAGCCGCTTGAAGGACGCCCTTCGGCCACTCCGGCCGCTGTGCTGCGCAGCCCGGGTACTCCTCGGCAGTGGGGCCAAATCTGGAAGGAATCCACCGGAGGTGCTGGGCAGCCGCGGTATCCAGCGCTCTCCCCAATCCCTCCGGAGGTCTCTGCACTGGGCAAGGGTGGTTGACCCGCGAGGACGAAGCCACCCGTGTGTCCTCCCCCCCCCCCCCCCCGGGTGGCTAGTCTGGAGTAGGGAGCGCGCGGCTGAGGGCGCGCCGCCGTCAGACACGCCTGCCCGCTGCGCAGCTGGCACAAAGTCTGCGGGAGGCGCCAGCGGCCAAAGGTGCCGAGACTGCAGCGGCCTGAGTGGTCCCTAGCGTGTCCCCCAGAGTGGATTTTGCAATTTCTGTGGCTCTTTTGAAAAAAAAAGCGTCGGTTTCCCTTTAAACGGATGCTCACAGACGGTGGCCTTTTCCTCTTCATTATTGGAGGGAGGTATTTATTTTTGGCCCCTCAAAAACGCTCTTAGTCACTGATGCCCTGGTCATCTCAGCGTTTGGACTGCTGCAATGGTTCTATCCAATTTTAAGAGTATTCAGAAGATACAGCTAGCACAAAACGCAGCAGAGCAGAAAGCTTTAGGGCTCCCCTAGGGTGGCCCATGGAAGGAAAGCACTGTTGTCTGGGCTGCAGTGTCACCAATTTGAGGTGTTGGCTCTTACCTTTAAAGCCTTTCGTGGCATGGATCTAGGACACGTGATGAACCCTCTCACTCCAGTGAGTGAGAGGCCCACCCTGTTCATTCTGGCAGAAAGGCCATGCTGTGAATCCCCCACAGTCATGAATTCTGGGGAGACTCTAGGACAGGGGCCTGAAACCTTCAAAGAATCATTTGGACCCATTTCCTACAAAAAAGAAAACAGGGGAGCCAATAATTTAACAACTGGTGTGACTGGGTGGGCGTGGCCAACTCCACATCACTCCCTCCCACCCAGTCACCTCCTGCTCTGGAATATGGAGCAAGTCTCCATCCTCCGCCATCACCCTTGCCTTCTCAGGCCAGGGGAGGAGTGACGGGGAGGAGAAGGGCCAGCCAAGGGTGGGATCAGCCAACAGGAGCCGCAGCAGAGGACCAAAAGAGCCTCATGTGGCTCCAGAGCCTCAGGTTGCAGATGCCTGCTCTAGAAGAAGAAACTTTCTGGCTACAACTACCACCCTCTGCCTGGAACATCATGCCCCCGCCAAGTTCTGCTCCATCCTCCTGGCCTTTTGAAAGGGTTTCAAAGATTTTGTTGTTATTGTTTGTCTTGAAGTTGTGTCCGACCCATCGTGACCCCATGGATAACGTTCCTCCAGGCCTTCCTGTCCTCTACCATCCCCCGAGTCCATTTAAGCTCGCGGCGACTTCTTCAGTGGCTCCATCCAGCCACCTCATTCTTTGCCGTCCCCTTTTGCCCTCAAAACACAGCTCTGCCAATTAGCCAGGGACCCCAATAGGCGTTTCAGACTGGTGGGGATTAGTGGACTAGGAAGAAGATTCTACTTCTACCTCGTCCCGTTCTGGTTGTTAACTTATTTAATTTCTGTTTATTTTAATATTTAACGTTTTGTTATGTTTGTTTGATGATGTAAGCTGCACAGAATTTCTAGACCGATGGGCAGCATAGCTACTTAATACATTTATAAATAAACAGACAACCATGCAGCTAATGCACCACCACATCAATATTTAGTAGTTTGCCTTTTTGGCTTGTTGGCTTTTGACCTTTGACAGTGTGAGGACAACTGTGTTTACTCTATTGAAGAAGAGGTCAAGTGCAGGCCGAGGCAACAAGACAGCAAAACAAACAAGTAAATAAAGAAAAGCACAAGCTGTGAAACTGGCAAGGGTTTTTTTTTTCCCCTCCCTCACATGCAGATTTAGTGTGAGCCAAGTTACCCTGTAATCACAGTCTCCTTTGCTGCAGTTGCAACCAATGGCTGTTCCAGGAAATAGGAGGATTTTCCTTCTTCAACTAGTACAATTGTTTCTACCCCACTGACTTACTGAGGTGTGATTGTTGGCTCATCCAGTGATCACACCTCAGTAAGTCAGTGGGGTAGAAACAGTCCTGGCTGACTGCAGCTTTGGAGGAAATGACATCGGCTCATTCATCCGTCAACCAGTATCCATCATTGTTGATGGGAGAAACTGTGTTTGATCTCCAAAATATTAGCTATCCAGGGATTACATTGATTCAAACTAATTTTGAATCACACTGTGGTGTTTTTTTTCAAGCTCAGCAACTTTTAAGATGTGTGGAGATCCCAGAAACAATCTCCATAGACATTCAACTCCTAGAATTGCCCAATCGGCATGGCTGGCTGTGGAATTCTGGGAGTTGAAGTCCACGGATCTCAAAATGGTTGAGCTTGAGAAACGCTGCTGCAAGTAGTCCTCCACTTACGTTGCAACATCCCCATGTTCACGTGATCAAAATTCAGATACTTGGCAACTGCTTCAGATTTATGATGGTTTTTGCGATCCCCTTTTGCAACCTTCCAAGGAATAAAGTCAATGGGGAAGCCGGATTCACTTAACAGCCATGTTACTAACTTAACAATGATAATGACTCACTTTACAACTGTGGCAAGAAAAGTCGTAAAATGGGGCAAAACTCACTTAACAAATGCCTCACTTAGCAACATAAATTTTAGGCTCCGTTGTGGACGTAAGTTGAGGACAACCTGTATAGAGTACCTCTCAAATTCTGACCCTTAATATTTCTTTCTATCTCCTTGCTAGCAAAAGAGAATTATTTTTTTACAGGGATTGAGGTTATCGGGGCAAGTTGCTTGAGCTTTGAATCCTTTCCTTCTGCCCACCTCTTTCCAGTTGTTCAGCTTCCCTTATCTAGACACAAGTTACAGAAACCGCTGGGAAGCAAATACCACAACATGCACGTGCATCAAATGTCACGGGCGAAGGACATAAGGGCAAGATCCGTGTGATGATGACACTATACACATGCCGTTATTTTGTCTTGGTGACCCACTGCAGGGTTGCCGCTGGCATGGAAGCAGCTGCGCTTGGAAGCAGATGGGAGAACGGGAATAGAAATCTTATATTAGATTTCCCCTTCCAAATTTGCAGCCTTTTCTGTGCCTTGGAATGATGGGTGAACACGCTCACAAACACACACACACACACGCACACACATGTAGGCACACATTCTTGGGATCAATACGACTGTTCTTGGAGAAGCGGGATGAAAAGCTGAAAATATGTTAATACCTACTGTCAGTGCTGACCCCTTGCACAGTTTTGAAGCTCAGCACTTACGTTTTTAGATTTCAGTCTAATCGAAGTAATTTAAATTGCTTAGATTTCAGCATTTTGATCTAGATTTTGCCTCCCTTAAATCTACCAGACCTATTGAAATCCATAGGATTTTTTTTTTTTTTAATTAAAGACTTGTTAGCTGCCTTGGAGAAAACATATTTATAGGGCGGCCTCCAAACAGGTAAAATAATTAAAACGATTTTTAGATTGGTTGAGTTTAGCTGGGACTGTACTTTAGGAACCTGTTTTCCTCATTAAATGATTTTGTTCCCATCTTTATCTAAGTGTAACTTAAAGGTCTGGCGCTGTCTTCAAAACCACATCCAGTTTCAAGTTTCGATATCTGAAAAATCACATCGGGACTTTCTAACATGCTGAGATCATACTTGGAGGTTCTCTGGATTGGGGTGTGTCAGTGGAAGGAGCAGCTTTCTCAGAAGTGATTCAGTGAGAAGTTTTCCCCACAAAGTCTCACCTGGCCCTTCCTCTGATCTTTTTTTATTTTATGTTCCCAGATGTTTAAACAACTTCAGACACACGTTATCCTTACCCTGCCTGACTATTCCCACTGTCCAGGTTTTATTATTTCTTCGGTAAGGAATATAGTGTTCTTCATTTGTCTCCCATGATCTTCTGTTTAGGGAAGAAAGTTGTGTAAGTTATTTTGAATAAACTACATTTGTGGAACTGTGCAAGTGTTGTGCAATTAGAAAACAATATAAGAAGGCCATGGTGAAAATTCTAGCATGTGTTATTTTTAAAAATCGATTTGCTTTGCTGCATGTGGTGTGTGTTTGTTTTGGCTGAACATTTGTACAGTATGGAAAGTCACAGAAGGTTAGGATATGTTGTCCTAAAGATGTTCTAATTTATCACAAACACATCACAACTGTAGTCCCAACCTGGCATTTCCACCAGATAAATCCAGCATGGCTTTAATTCAGTGTCCCCAAAATGTTTTCTTACACATTTACATTAAACTGAATGTTTAAACAAATTTACACTTTTGTCCCTTGTAGCTTTGATCACTGAGCTGATTATTATTATGGTTCATTGCACAGTCAGCCAGATGTTCAGACTAGACTTGGCATTTTTATTTACCTGCGGAGTCCTTCCCAAGGACTATTATTATCAAATTTATTTGCTACCCATCTCATGGTTTAAGGCGACTCTGAACAGATGCTGAGCAACTTATCTGAGCCACAATTATTATTTTTTGCATTGCAGCTTGCTAATGATATTTGGAACCAATCTCTGTAACCAACAAATCATAACTCATGGCTTAAAACCATACCAGGCCGTGATGGCTTACTGAAACCACAATTTAATGGCTCAACAAATTGCATAAACCCAGCCACTGATATCACTAGCATTTTTAAAAGATGAACAAGCCTGCAAGGAATGGTGAAGCCATCGCTTCAGGGAGTGCCAGACAAATGATCAAAGCTGGTGTTTGAAAAATGCAAGAAGGATTTTGGAACCACCTTTAGCAAAACAGGTCCTCAGGCATTTAGGAT